CTCACCCCACCCCCACCCCCCCAATCAAAACTCTAACTGTCACTTTATAGCCAATATAAGCTGGCCTAGCTTTAAATTGAAGATTATAATATGAAAATATTTTTTCTTGACTAGCAATTCTTATAAAATGTACTTTCTATGCAATGACGAATAAAGAATTATCAGTGTTTAATAACATCAATGATTCCTATATATTGGAAAAGAACAGGTTTGTTATTACAGTATGCCTATCATACAGTACAATACTTGCTCTCATTTTTTTTTTGGTTTTTTTTTTTTTTGGTTTAACGTTGGAAAAATACTTTTGTTCATTTGTTTCATTGATGTTAATTTTTATGAATAAGGTGAGGGGGTAATAGAGCATTCCCCAGCAGAGAAAATTTTAGTACAGTATTTGTTTTGTTTGTTGGTATTAACTTTTGGTTCCATGTTGTAAGGTAATAGGAACCTTGGCAATCGTCCATGCACAGACATGGACGATGAGGTGAGAGAGTGTATACTGGGAAAAAATCAGTATTACCTTGATAATCTTAAAAATTTTACCACCCTATCTTTTGTGTTTTAGTAAATGTTACTTTAGAATAGAATAGAATAGAAATCGTTCTTTATCCTGGATACTCAGTCAGTATTGTTACACTATTCTTCCCTGAGGTGGTCCAGGGTTGTAGAATCATGGGCAAATAAAATAATAATAAAATTAATTTTATTTTCACAGAATCAATTATTGATCAAGAACGTGGTTTTCAAGAAGTCATGTACCTCAGTTTATTTATCATGATTGTAGTTCTACTACTGTTAATGTTAGCAATGGGCCTGTGTTACCGAAAATATACAAAGAACAAATTTCATCGTCCCGAGTGGGTAAGTCATTTACGGTGATGCACGGGCAGGTCTAAGATTCCTGAAGAAGGCTTTGGGAAACAAAAAAAGAACAATTGAAAACTTGATCAAATTTACTTTATGGTTCTTAAATAAATTATTATAATAGTAAAAGCAGGATGCAAAGCTGTTGCCGCACCTTTTCATGATAAATAACACGTTTTCAGGCATCGCCCTTCTTCAGGTGAACATGCCACAGCATCTGTATGGTTATGTGACTATGGATAGCCGATTAACAGACAGTATTTACTCATGAAATTTATAAATTATTAAAAGTATTCGACCTATTGTTGTTTACTTTAACATACTTTACAATGCTTGGCCAGTGATAGAGGAAAATGTTTGGCGTTTTTTAGACCCCTCCTCCAGAAGAGTGAGAATAGTTGTGGAATTTTCTAACTAAAGCTTATTGCATGATCAACAATTTTTTCAAGCAACCTAAATGGTGAACATGTTACCTCACATGTCATTATACAGTAATTTTCTTGAAGATGCTAAAACGATAGCAAGGCATTTTTCTTTTGTTTTTTAGCTTGTGTCACACAAATATACAGACATGTGCAGCAATGTACCATTTCATAAGGACAGCAATCCGATGGAAGTGTTTGATCAACTCCTATCGCCATCGGATAAGAAGTTGCCACCGCAAAATAGAGATAGGCCTATTGCCAGTTCGGAACTTGAACCGGTAATGATCACCCTTACAGAAAATGTAATAAGTGATATCGAAGAACAATCTATAGTAAATACATGTTCATATGCAAAAATTAATTTCGAGATGATGTCTAAAATTCAAGAAGAAAACAATTTGAACATTGAAAACAAATCCATTTCTGTAATACCAGCTGAAACCTCGGAATCATCAGGAATGTCGTGTCTCTCAAAATATTCAACAGAGCAATACGTAAAAGCGGATTTTGGATTCCCGGTGGTAGGAAGAAGTAACGATTCCGGATATGTGACCAATAGGCCTATGCCTATTATTACAAAAACAAACTATTTACCTGTGAAGACCATCGTTTCGGGTGGAAGCCCGGTACAGACCCAGGTGCTACAATACTCACTGTAGTCGGGAGATTTTAAAATTATCTACAACAGCAGATATAATGTAATGTTTATTTAATTAAATTACACAGCAAGCAGTAATTTGTTGTAAACACCAAGGATAACCCCCACTTATTTCCAAGGTGGCCGTGGGTTGGGGCTGTCTCTTATACACATCTAGATGTGTATAAGAGACAGCTTTAGAATAGAATAGAATAGAAATCGTTCTTTATCCTGGATACTCAGTCAGTATTGTTACACTATTCTTCCCTGAGGTGGTCCAGGGTTGTAGAATCATGGGCAAATAAAATAATAATAAAATTAATTTTATTTTCACAGAATCAATTATTGATCAAGAACGTGGTTTTCAAGAAGTCATGTACCTCAGTTTATTTATCATGATTGTAGTTCTACTACTGTTAATGTTAGCAATGGGCCTGTGTTACCGAAAATATACAAAGAACAAATTTCATCGTCCCGAGTGGGTAAGTCATTTACGGTGATGCACGGGCAGGTCTAAGATTCCTGAAGAAGGCTTTGGGAAACAAAAAAAGAACAATTGAAAACTTGATCAAATTTACTTTATGGTTCTTAAATAAATTATTATAATAGTAAAAGCAGGATGCAAAGCTGTTGCCGCACCTTTTCATGATAAATAACACGTTTTCAGGCATCGCCCTTCTTCAGGTGAACATGCCACAGCATCTGTATGGTTATGTGACTATGGATAGCCGATTAACAGACAGTATTTACTCATGAAATTTATAAATTATTAAAAGTATTCGACCTATTGTTGTTTACTTTAACATACTTTACAATGCTTGGCCAGTGATAGAGGAAAATGTTTGGCGTTTTTTAGACCCCTCCTCCAGAAGAGTGAGAATAGTTGTGGAATTTTCTAACTAAAGCTTATTGCATGATCAACAATTTTTTCAAGCAACCTAAATGGTGAACATGTTACCTCACATGTCATTATACAGTAATTTTCTTGAAGATGCTAAAACGATAGCAAGGCATTTTTCTTTTGTTTTTTAGCTTGTGTCACACAAATATACAGACATGTGCAGCAATGTACCATTTCATAAGGACAGCAATCCGATGGAAGTGTTTGATCAACTCCTATCGCCATCGGATAAGAAGTTGCCACCGCAAAATAGAGATAGGCCTATTGCCAGTTCGGAACTCGAACCGGTAATGATCACCCTTACAGAAAATGTAATAAGTGATATCGAAGAACAATCTATAGTAAATACATGTTCATATGCAAAAATTAATTTCGAGATGATGTCTAAAATTCAAGAAGAAAACAATTTGAACATTGAAAACAAATCCATTTCTGTAATACCAGCTGAAACCTCGGAATCATCAGGAATGTCGTGTCTCTCAAAATATTCAACAGAGCAATACGTAAAAGCGGATTTCGGATTCCCGGTGGTAGGAAGAAGTAACGATTCCGGATATGTGACCAATAGGCCTATGCCTATTATTACAAAAACAAACTATTTACCTGTGAAGACCATCGTTTCGGGTGGAAGCCCGGTACAGACCCAGGTGCTACAATACTCATTGTAGTCGGGAGATTTTAAAATTATCTACAACAGCAGATATAATGTAATGTTTATTTAATTAAATTACACAGCAAGCAGTAATTTGTTGTAAACACCAAGGATAACCCCCACTTTAAAAGGCAAAATACTGAAAAACAACAATGCTGTGGGAAACAATGGCTGGATCTCAGTAGAGATACAAAAATGATAAGCAACAGCTGAAAAGTAAACGTAAGTAAACAGCCAGAAATAGAACCAGAGCTTTCGGACAACCCTAGTTCTTCCTCAGTGGCGAGTGAGTGAGGGTAGAAAAAGCTAGATGGTATAGTGAGAATTTCATGCAAGCATGATTGGAAACAATAGGCTGGGTGAGATAAGAATAAACAGTCTAAACAAGTAAACAGGAGTTTATTATATATATATATATATAAATATATATATATATATTAACTCTCCCAACCATTCTCTCAGCAACCTACGGTGTGCCCTCATATCCACTAATTTCTCCTCCCTCAACCAACGTAGACTCATGGAACTCAAACTCATCAGACACAAAACACACGTATCTGGTTTAAACAAGGATCTTGGTATCCTTAGTGGGTTCTCGTTTTTTAAGGCATAACTTTTCATTTCGATCTGTTTCTGTAGTTACCCGATTTTATTTTATTTTTTGGAATTTACTCATTACTATTATTATTGTTATTGTTATTATTATTATTATGATTATTATTATTACTATTATTTTTATCATCATTACTATTATTATTATTATTATTATTACTATTATTATTATTATTATTATATTACTGCATTGCTTCATTCATTATTCTAGGTATATTCACAGGCCTAGCATACGTTATATTATTAGGTCTTAATACACTTGGCTCAGTTACAATCTCTATATGATCCATTTCTCTGAAATAACCATCTTATCTGTGTAGTTCTGGCCAATACAATGGATAGTTTATTTGACTAGTCTCTGCAATTAACACCCTTGGTTCTTTATTATTGTAGATACTCAGTATGCATAGATATTAAATAGACCAATCATTTTACAGTTTTATAAGTATTTCTCATTTGCTCTCTGTCACCTTTATTCTTTTTTGATAATACAGCCTATATTATATTGATTCATGATGTTTTCCTTATTCTCGCTGATGAAGGCCACAGGAGTGGCAGAAATATCCGAGTTTATAATAAATCAGTGTTCTTAAAGTCTACTACTGAAGTTGTTTCATTATTTTCTATATATATATATATATATATATATAAATATATATGATATTGAAGAGAGTTAGCCGTTAACACTGTTGAATAAATATAATATAAATCGTCAAAGGTACATATACAGTGTTTAAATAAGGACATGATGGAACATCGTAGGCTACCCTGTAGCTTTTCAACGAATAAAGTCCTATAAAAGTCATTGTGTAATAAAATGCCTCCGACGGGATTCGAACCTGCGACCTCTTGCTGACAAGGCGAGCGTCATAACCACAAGACCATGAAGGCTTCATGGTTGAACAGGTCCAAATCACTGTCGGGAACATTGTATTACACAATGCTACGCCTCAAGAGGGCGTTCGGCCAGATAAATCTGACAATACGGCTAGGAATACTGTCGTATATTGTATATGATATTGAAGAGAGTTAGCCGTTAACACTGTTGAATAAATATAATATAAATCGTCAAAGGTACATATACAGTGTTTAAATAAGGACATGATGGAACATCGTAGGCTACCCTGTAGCTTTTCAACGAATATAGTCCTATAAAAGTCATTGTGTAATAAAATGCCTCCGACGGGATTCGAACCTGCGACCTCTCGCTGACAAGGCGAGTGTCATAACCACTAGACCACGAAGGCTTCATGGTTGAACAGGTCCAAATAACCGTCGGGAACATTGTATTACACAATGCTACGCCTCAAGAGGGCGTTCGGCCAGATAAATCTGACGAATCGGCTAGAAATACTGTCGTATATTGTATATGATATTGAAGAGAGTTAGTCGTTAACACTGTTGAATAAATATAATATAAATCATCAAAGGTACATATACAGTGTTTAAATAAGGACATGATGGAACATCGTAGGCTAATCTGTAGCTTTTTAACGAATAAAGTCCTATAAAAGTCATTGTGTAATAAAATGCCTCTGACGGGATTCGAACCTGCGACCTCTCGCTGACAAGGCGAGCGTCATAACCACTAGACCACGAAGGCTTCATGGTTGAACAGGTCCAAATAACCATCGACATTGTATTACACAATGCTATGCCTCAAGAGGGCATTCGGCCAGATA